ACTTTTCTCTATTCGTTCTCTTTTTTCTCTTTGTGAGTTAGGATATTTTCTATTGACCTATCTTCTAGTTCACTAATACTCTCTTCTGACTTGTCTAATCTGCTCTTAAATCTGTGTCTTGGGTTTTTGGTTTCAGTTAATTGTATTTTTCCATTAAAGAAGTTCAATTTGATTCTTTTTATAGAATCTAATTCTCTAGGAAAATCCTCCATATTTTTCTTCATATTTCTTCATTTCTGTCTGTAGTTTCCTTAACATATTGATCATATTTATTTTGAAGTCCTTTTTTGATATCCCTAGTCTTTGAGTCAATTCCAGGTCTGTTTCTGTCATCTTGTTTTTCCTCTCAATTTTCAGTCATAGAGTCCTGTATTTTAAAATGCCTAGTAAATTTTAATTAAATGACAGGTATTATGTATAAAATATTGCAGAAGTTCTGGATGATGTTATCTTCTTCCAGAAAGAATTCACCTTGTCCTCTGCCAGGCAGATAGAGTGGGCTGATTTCCTTTGACCATTAGGGGCAGAGCTGAGCGGAATCTGGGTTGGGGTTTTGGTAAGGCTCTGTCTGGTTCACACCTGCCCCCAGGTGGAGCATCAGATTTCTAGCAGGGAGCCTGGGGTTCATGAATGAGAATTCTTGTCTTCTCAGTGCAACTGCTGTAAATCACACAGCTACAGTCCTTCCCTCATAATTGAGGGGTCTCCTCTCTTTACATTTATTTCTTGCATTCCTGCTCAGCTATGTATGTTTAAATGTTTTAAAATATTTTGTCTAGCAATTTTATGTGTTAAGATTCGGATTTGGGATCCCAGGTCAGTTCAGTCCACCATCTTGACTGGAAGTTCCCTGAAGGAGTTTATGCAGGAGGGTGACATTATCTAGTTGTTCTTCAGAAAGATCCCTTTGCCTGTGGTGCTGTGGATAGATCAGGGGCTGTTGTAGAGGTGACCATGGCTTTGACTTGGGAGAAGGACATAGATTTGAGAGGTGTTCAGAGGATAGAGCCTGCAATGCCCAGGGATCAGGTTAGCAGTTGGGGTAGAGAGGAGGACTTTGAGCCTGGTACTAGAGTCCTCCCAGAACCAGGAAGCTATGGATAACAGCCAGAGTGGGATGAAGGAGAGGAGGAGGAGGGAGCTGCACCGGAGACTCGGGGTGGGAAGTTGCAGTGAGAGGGAGGAGACATGGATGGAGTGAGGTGAAGTGAGTCCAGAGGGCAAGGGCCCACAGGGAGAAGAGGCACTTGTGAAGAGAAGGGACTTGAGAAGTCAGAGGGTGAATACTTGCATTTTTGGCATTCTGAAAGGTCTCCAGTGGTCCTACAAGCCTGAGACAAGCCAGACATTCAAGAGACATTTGCAGAGTATTTTGGTGCCAGAATGGGCCCAGCCTTCCTGCTGCCTAGGAGGCAGCATCTGGGCCCTAGTGGGGAAGGAGCCATTTTGGGGACTGCAGGGCTGGAACCAGGCCCCCAACTGTCCCTCTTCTCCTGCCCTTTCACTGCGCCCAATTCCGGTTTCTCCCTGTCTGCACCATCACCGTAGTGCTCACTGATCTTCAGACCACTTCCAGGTTTATCACTGCCAATAAAACATGGTTCAGACTTTTGAGCTTTCCACCTATGGTTGTCCACACTTGGCCTTAGCTCACTTCCTCAGCCACCCGTGACTCTCCCCTGCATCCTCTCCTCCTTCCACCTGGTCCCTCCAGAGGTGTCTCTATGCATTCCCTGGGCTTTTAGTTTTGTTGCCCACGCTCCTGGAGCGCCTTTCCGCTGATGTTGATGTTGAGCCAAACTCCAGAAGCGTGCAGAGTTCCCTGTTCCTGGTCCCGGGCAGTTGGTGTTCATGCAGATCGTGCCATGTAAAGGGCATTCCTTCACTCCGTATTCGACACCTGTGGTGTGCCGGGCTCCGGACTAAGTGCTGGACTGGGCATTAAAACTCACAGATCATACCCTGTTCTGAAGGTGCTTCCAATCCAGAGGCGCTGCATGATAGCCCTGGTTAGTCAGGGGCAGTGGCGTAGGGCACCTGTGCTGGTGTTACATGAGCTGAGGTCCAGAGCTGGCCTCTCACTGTGGTTTTTCAGCAGGCACCACTGACAGTGTTGCTTTGCAGGGCAGGGGATGTGGTAGAGACTTGGGCATATTTGTTCCATAGATACTTGTATTATTTAATTTTGAAAACAAGAGTGGATTTAATTGTTACTTATGTAAATAATTTTTTTAAGTTTTTTTGTTTTGTTTTGTTTTAGAGACAGGGACTCGCTCTGTCGCCCAGGCTGGAGTGCAGTGGCATTATCATAGCTCACTGCAGGCTCCAACTGCTGGGTTCAGGGGATCCTTCCGCCTCAGATTCCTAAAGTGCTGGGATTACAGGCGTGGGCCACCGCACTCAGCCAGTAGTGCTTTCTGATTGAAAAATAAATTTGCCTTTTTTGGCCTTGGTATAGTTACCTGTGTCGGTGTTCTCTCGTCAAGCTCACTGGGACACACCTGTGGCTGAACAAGTCGCATTACTGCTCATTGTGGTGAGGATGCACACCGTGGGGAGTCATGCAGAGAGGGTGATAGAAAAGAACTTTTTATAGGATTTGGCTTGTTTTGAGTAATTTGGGGAGGGTTTAAGGAAGTCAGCTTTGCTCTGTATTAGCCTCAGTACATCCTATTTGGTTTAGCCTCCAGTCTAGCCTCTGACTGGAGCAAGGCTGACACTGTCAGTTGTAAGGAGGGAGCAGCCACTCAGATTGGCCAGGATAGGGCACTGCTTGGTCTTTTCTATGGCTTGGACAATGCTCATGTTTTGTCTGTGTCCAGACATGATTACAGAGGGGTCACAGAGTGGCCTTTTCTAATGTTGATTTTTTGTATTTTTACCAGGAGAACACTGAGGCCTCTATCTGTGAGTGCCAGGCCAGCTCCTAGTAGCACCGAGGCCTCTATCTGTGAGTGCCAGGCCAGTTCCTAGCAATGCTGAGGCCTACCAGATAGGACCAGGCCAGCTCCCACATGGCAGGGACTGCTTTTCTTTCTCCCTTGAAAAATTTAACGAGGTGACTTCACAATTGCCATGGTTCCATTCCTCTTGGTAAATCAACATGTGCACCATCAAGTTGTGTCTCTGCTTGGCCAGATCGCCAGGCACTGGGGCTCATTTCCCTCCCTGGGTGGGGCGCAGCAGACAGCAGGCCTCTCAGCTGGCAGACATCCCCTGCTCCCCTTGGCTGCATACAGCCCAGTGCTTCTGGAGGCTTCTGTACTATCTGCTCCTAGCTCCTCCTAGCACATCTCAACGGCTTCCCTACTGCTCACTTTACCTGTTCTCACCCCACAGCTTCCCCTGTATGTTCTACCACTGGACTCACCTTCCTAAACACAATCCCCTGCCTGAGTGCCCTTCACCGACAGGATGGGCTTGAGCCCTCCCTGGCCTTCTCTCTTGCACTAGGGGCTTTTGCTGTAGATCCCCCTGGCCCTGGTCCACACCTTCAGACCCTAGCCATCCCCAGGGAGCCTCCCCCAAACCTCTCCCTCTTAGCCAAGACGTGTGTCCTTGAACTCCTTAAGAAAACACTGTCCTTAGCAGTTATTCCTGACCTCCTCCTTCCACTTCTACATGTTCTAACCATGTAAAAATTCTGTGTTTTCCTCTTTAGTGTAAAATCCTGATGTGTCTGGGAGCTAGCACTGGACAGGTCGCTTCTCCTAATCAGAATGCTTAGAGCACTTGCAGTCACCCTGGAGAAGGAACTGTACCTGCTCAAAGAAACTGCCAGAAAGTAGGGGAAAGGTGGAGTCGTGTTGCCTGCCCCATGCCCAGCATGTGACTAAGCTTAGACCCGTGTGCCAGGCTCAGGAGTGTGGACTTCATCCTGGGGGCACCCATTAGAGGGTTGTAAGCAGGCGAGCAGTGTGACCACCATTTCTGCCTGGTGGAGATCTGATGAGCCTACAGGGTCAGTGGGAGGTGGCCTAAGGCAAAGAAAGGTGGTAGGGAGAGGGCAGGGAGGCTGACCTTGCTTTGGCCCGGGAAGGTACTGCAAAAGCAGCAGGTTTCAGGGAGCAGGAGCTTGGCTTTGGGCAGGCCCCAGCTGCCTGTGGACATGGTTTGTGGTGTATGGGTCCCTTCACAAGCACTGAGGTGTCAGTGCCAGTTAAACAAGTGAATTGACAGGTTGGTGGGGAGGAGGTGGAGGAGCAAGAGAGGTTCTCATGCCAAGCTGGAGAGTCCTGGGGAGAAAGGCTACAGTGGGAATGTCCAAGTCTAAGGCCGTCCCCGGCTCTGGAGGCACTGGAGTTAGGAGCTCAGGAGGGCTCAGACAGAACCCCAGGCAGCAGAGGGACCTCGCTTAAGAGCAGCAAGAGCCACAGCGGAGGAAATAAAGAACAGGCTATGCTGTGGGTTTCGGAGAGGACAGGGCCTGACTAGCTGAGCCCTCAGAGCCTTTGTCCAGCTCACTGACTGGGGCTCTGGTCTGCAGGTTTCTGGTGACAAGGATGGAGAGGTGCAGAGGGTCTAGGCAGCATTTCAAGGTACCCACCCAGATGGACTCCGTAGTGACTGGGAAGCCCTAGGGTGAGCTTGGCAGAGCCCAAGGGGCAGGACAGGCTGCCCTGGCGTGGGTCAATGACCTGTGCCACTGGCCCTTGCCTGGGGCAACAGACGGTAAGGAGCTTATGGGGCCCACTGTCACACTGTGCCACACCAGAAAGATCGAGTGGCAGACATTGCTAGGTCACTTACCATCGTGTGACCCGGGCACAGGTATAACTAACTTTGATGGAGCCTCAGATCTCTCCATCAGCTGGGAATCCCAGGACATACCTCATAACACAGTGGAGAAGATGGCAATGAAGGATGTACAGTGTGGACAGAGGATCAGCTACTATCATTAATCTTTCATATTAATGCCTGGTCCTGTGGCCCCATCAGCCAGTGGTACCCAGAGCCCCCTCCCTACCTCAGTGAGGCAGTGAGAAGAGTGACTGGGAGAAGGCAAAGAGCAGATCCCATTTATTGGCGTTTTAATGACAGCAGAGTGAAAGGAAGGCTTCCGCCTCCCCTGAAACATGCCGTCCTCTCTGCCCTCAGGGCTCAGCACAGGGATGAGACCCCCACACGAATGTTCCCCAGAGGGCAGCACTCCAGGGTGCAGTGGGGAGGGGAAAGGGTACTCTATGCCAGGCTGGGGAGCTGGGACAGGAGGGAAGACGTGCACCCTCAGCTCTTGGCTCAATCTCTCTCCCCTGGGACCTGGTGTTGCCCCCAGACCCTGGGGTGGGCTGGCAGACAGGGCTCATGCAACAATGAGTGAATAGGAGGTGGCCTGGAAACGTGGCCTTGTTGCCCCTTGGTGGGGGCGGGAGGACTAAAAGGGCCATGCTGTGGCCACAGCGGGTCCACAGAAAAGTATCTGCAGTGTACATACAGGAGGGTTGGAGAGGGGCTTTCTCTGCCCCAGGCTGTGCCCAGGACGAAAGAGAGGGTAAGTACGGATGGCACTGCCATGCCAGGGGCAGGGTCCAGGCCAGCCATGCCACCTGATGGGGCATAGCGAGCTGGGAGCTTGGGCTACTCCTTGGCGCGGCCGATGATGGTGAGGATGTACAGGAAGATGTTGATGATGTCTGTGTATAGGTTCAGCGCAGCAAACACGTACTCCTCCGGGCTCAGGGACAGCTGCTTGTTCCCCAGTAGCAGCTGGGTGTCCACTGCCAGGAACTAGGGGTGATGGCACGGTGGTGTTAAGGGACAAGCCTGCCCACCTGGTGTCCCAGCCCCTCCCCACCAAGGCCCCCCCCCCCCCCCCCCCCCCCGCCCTCACTCACACAGGTGAAAAGCAGAGCGCCCAGAGAGGCGTACACAATCTCTAGGATGCGGTTCCGGATGAAGATGCAGAGGATGGCGAAGATGAAGAGCACCACCATGCTCACCAGGAGCACGCCCATGCACGAGGTGAAGTCGTAGCGGGTCTGAGAGGGTGGGAGAGGAACAGGGGCATTGGGTGCTGGGCCCCCTGGGAAGGCCTTTGGGCCCTAGGGCCACAGCCCTGCTATAGGGGGCCCCTCACCTGCATGGAGAAGATGACCACTGTGAAGCAGACGGCTGTGGTGATGCCCACAGCCATGATGACCGCCTCAGTGTTGTAGAAGCTGGCAATCATGCCCACCATGTAGGACAGGCTGACGGTCAGGATCGACTGTGGGGAGATGGGATGGGGATGGGGGCACACCTGCCTTGGGTGTGCAAGCTGCTCCCCGCCTCCCCAACGTCCCCTACCCTCCCCTGCTTCATGGGCAGAAGGGGAACCAGGGTGACCAGGCCCCCCGGAGTGGGCATGTGAGACTGAAACACTGGGCCCCAGGGCCAGAGGCCCAGGTTTGTGGGTTACCAGTGCAACAAGGTTCCAGGGGTGCTTCCGCCGGAAGTCCCCACAACAGCTGAGGACGATGAGGGAAATAAAGAAGATGGCGTAGGAGACATAGTAGGTCCAGACGTTCTCCCGGACAAAACCCTTCACCTCCCGGACAAAAGTGAACACAGACACCGTGGACAAGGTCACCGACAGCTGCAGGGTCAGCACCAGGAACACCTGGGGAGGAAGCGACTCAGAGCCCGCCAGGCGCTGGCCTCCCACCCCACAGACACCCCGGCCCCACCTTCCGGATGAAGGCCTGTCGGATGCTCTTGTCATCCCAGTTGGTGGCAGGAAAATCCTGGTTGTCGTAGTAGGACGGGGGCCCCTCCTCCTGGTAGTTCCCATGCTGTGGTGCTGGGGGACGGATGGGCTGTGTTAGTGCGCTCCCAGGCACTGTGCCCATGCCCGTGACCCTGCCCTGCCCCTGCCCCACTCACAGTCAGGGTCCTGTGCCTGGAAGGCCTGTGGTTGTCCATAGGGGTTAGGGGGGAAGGGGCTCTGAGGGTAGGGCCCCTGTGGGTAGCCCTCTTGGGGGTAGGGCCCCTGAGGGTAGCCCCCTTGGGGGTAGGGGCCCTGAGGGTAGCCCCCTTGGGAGTAGGGCCCCTGAGGGTAGCCCCCTTGGGGGTAAGAGCTGGGGCCATGGGGATACCCTGGCTGACCATAGGGGGAGGGCTGGAAAGGGGGCTGTGGGTAGGGGGCCGCCGGGTAAGGAGGCTGAGCATAGGGAGGCATGGGTGGCTGGGGCCCGCCAGGGTATCCAGGATTGGGGGGAGGATAGTTGTCCCCAGACACCAAGAAACTCTTTTCATGGGACATGGCCTCCGGTTCCGTGGTCTGCCCCTAGAGGAGACAGAGAGAACAGTTAGCCCTGCGTGACTGTGGCAACCAGCCCGTGGCAGCCCCACCTGCTTCCAGGAACCCAGAGGGAAGGAAGGGGAAGCCATGACCTTTGCCCCCGGCTGTAGGGAGCCCTGGAGAGCAATGGGGCCAGGAGAAGCGGGCGGGGACCTAGACCGGCATGGGCCTTCGGAAGGGGCTGCTCTAGGCCGACCCTAAAGGGGGGGGAGGGGACGGACGAGGGGATGATTGTCAGCCTCCAGACCTGGGGCTTTACTTGTTTCTTACAAGCAACTAGAGGGCCCTTCTCACCGCTGCCGGCGTCTCCCGAGCTATAGCTCAGCCCGGTGGGGCCTGGAGGCGCGGCCGGGGATGTGTGAGGGTGTGCCCGGACCCTCCCCTTCACAACCCGCCCCTTAAGCAGCTTTAAGGGGCCAGAGCCCGCGGCTATTTCCATCCCGGGAAATCCCCAGGCCATCTGTGACCAACGAGAGCCCTGGCCCCCCCATCCCAAGAGCAGGACCCAACCGTCCCTCGTTCCCGGGGTTGAGGGGATCAGGCCCAGATCGGCTACCGGGTGCTTGCCAGTGGGGTACGCCGGGAACAGCGGCGTGCGGGGGTGTGTGGGGGATGGAAGCGACCAGAGGGCGTGCGGGAGAACGAAGCAGGTGTGCGGGCGAGGCGGTGGGGGCGGCGGCGGCCGCGGAACCCGCACCCAGGACGGGTGGGCCCTCCTGCCGGGTCGGGGGCTCTTGGGGCCGCGAGTCCTGACGTCGCCGCAGCGCGCGTCCCCCCCTCCGCCACCTCGGGCTCCAGGCCGCCGCGACTCCCCGCCCCCACTACCGCTGCTACCCTGGCCCCGAGCGGGCCGCGCGCCCTGGCCGGACAGACTGGCCGACCGAAGGCGGCCCCCCTCGGCTGCGAAGGGTCAGAGCGGGGGCGGGGGCGGCCGGCAGTGGGGCTGCGACGGGTCACGCGCTCTCCTGGGCTCGGGTTGGGGACTCACCGCTCGCGGGGTGCCGCAGGCCGGTGCGCACGGTGTCCGTTGCGCGGCCGCGCGGTGATGGCCGGTGCGCCCTCACCCGCTCGGCGGCCGGCTAGGCTGGGCCTGCGCCTGCAGCTTCGGAGACGCAGAGGGGCCTTGTGACGGGGCGGGGCCGGGGCCAGGCGGGGCGGGACCGGGGCGGGGCCGGGGCGGGCTCTGCCGGGACTGCGGGAATTCTTCCGCGCGGAGCAGACTCGCTACGCCCCGCCCGCGGCTGGCGTGCCGGCTCTTCTGGTCCTAGGCCCAGGGCCAGCGCCACGCGCCTCGCAGTGTATGCCGAAGGCGGGGTGGAGGCTCGGGCGACGGGACCTGAAGACCCCTGGAGGCAGAAGCCTGGTTTGGCCAATTTGGTGATTCGTTCAGGGAGTTAAGAAATTTATTCCTAAATCCAGGATTTGCTGAAGCTGCCAAGGATTCTCAGTCCCTTCTTGGCCTCAAAGCACAGCGTTCACTTTCCCTTTGCATCCAAGTCTATCGCAAATCAAGAGGCCTAATCGTTTAATTGCCCCATTCTCTCTACCAGCCCAGCCTCTGCCAGGCTCCATCCTAGAGACCCTTTACACCTGCTTGCCTTCAGCATATCCTCATAAGCTGTGAGGGGCTAAGGCTTAGAGATACAGTAGCGCTGGACGCCAGGCGAACTGCCCACCCCCCCCTCCGGCCTTGGAAGTCCTGAGGAAGTGCTGTCACAGGCAGAGCATCCCCTGCAGCAGGGCCTCTCGACCTGGGGCCTTGGGGCCTTACTCTGCTCTCCTGGCCCTTGGACGGCTGACCTCTCCCAGACCGGGCAGTGGTTGGGGAAAGGCTCTGCCCTGTGCGCCATGGTGTGAGTTCAGTATTTACCAACTGGATCTAGTAAAGGGAATCCCTGACCTGTAGCTTTTGCACATGCCCATAGTGTAAATACTCCCGCCACAACTGGTTTCAAGCTACCACCAGTTTAACAACCAGTTAATGGAAATTCCTGTAAATGTAACAATCTGGTTGTGGTGTGAGCTGCTCCAGTGCACAGCTGCCTGTAGCAGAACCTCCTCAGCTGTGATAGGCACAATGAGTGATAGACAGTGTTAGAAGGTGATGAGTTCTATGAGAAGGGAAGAAGTAGAGCAGGCAGGGATAGATTTAGGTTTTGTAGAACCAGAAGCTCCAACAATTTGAGAGACTTCAAGAAAAATGATAAATACAAAGTTGAGTACAAGGCTTTGGCAGCGGCTTAAGCAAGTCAGAGGTCCTTAAGGGTTTTTAGGTTTGTGTTAAATCTGCTCCTAAGAGCAGGGTAAGGGAGGTCACATGGGAGGATGGCCATGTAGCTCTGTGGGGAAAGCCAGGCCAAGCAGAGGGATGGGCCACTGCAAGGGCACTGAGGCAGGAGTGGCCTGTAGTTCTGGAGGATGAGCTGAGAGGCTGGAGCTTCCATGAGCATCAGGGTGTGCAGACAGGCAGAGAGCCAGAGAGAGGACTGGAACCTTGTCAGGCAGAGCTGGACAGGCCCTCAAAGGGATTTTGGCTTTTACTGTTACTGACTCTGGGAGTCGTAGTGGCCGTTGGTACCACTTTACAAGGCCCATCCTGCCCTCTCTGTTGAGGGCCCACTATGGGGGTGAGTGTAAGTGGCAGAGGGAGATCAGCTAAGAGGGTAGCATAGCTGCCCAGTGAGAGATGCCAGAGGCGTGGACTAGGGTGGGGGCAGCAGAGGTACCAGGTGTGTAGGGCTGGGGATGCAGGCTGGCCAGGGTCCTTGGTCCCCTAGAGGAAGGAACAGCAGGGGTGAGAATAGGTTTCCGTGGGCTGAGGGGTGAATGGGAAGTCGGGGGTGCAGAGATGGGTTCCACTCTGAGAGCCTGGAAGCAAACAGAGCTTGGGTGATGTTTTGGGGGGCGGGGGGTTGGTCAGAGTGGGAGTGTGGATTCTAAAGGCACAGCCTGGGTGTGAGCCCTGGCACTGCTGTGGGCCCTGTCTGCACCTCCATTTCCCCTTCTGTGGTAAGGATTAGCAGCAGCAAGGCATGCCAGCACAGTGCCCATCACCTGTGGGATCACACATGATGACGGCAATGATGACGATAACATGAGATGGGAAGGTTAAGTGGGTGTGCAGGCTGGAGAGAGAGCCACAGGGAAGGGCCCCAGTAGGGGACCAAGGAGGCAGGAGGAAGGCTGTGCTGAGATGCAAACTCTTGTAGGTCACAAAGTATTTTCATGACCATGGGAAACCTGGTCACCTGGGAGGTGTGAGGGCCCAGAAGCATGGTTTGGGAAGGTTGCTGGAGGCAGCTGCAAGCCAGCCTCAGGCAGCAGCAGGGCTGGAGATCCAACACTGCTCCTGTTGAGTGAGGGTGACACAGAGACTTAGAGACCCTGAGTCGGGGGCAGTGACTCAGGCCCCTTGGTGGATTTAGTGGGGAGGATGATTGACCATTTCAGGCCACAGGGAGAGGCCAGGGGAGTGGAGGACCACCAAAGGACACTCCTGTCCACCCTGCCAGCCAGGGGCTGGAGTGGGCCAGATAAAGCCAGTGGGCTGGGCTGGCAGGAGGGTCCTGAGGGATCCAGCCCAGCCAATACTTCCTGGTCAGAGCTGGGGGTTGAGGCTTCAGCAGAGAGGAAGCACCTGAGCCCCAGTAATCAGGCCACAGCGCTGAGGGCCTGGTTCAGCCCCTCCCTCCCTCTCACCCTCCCTCCCTCTTTCAGTTTCACTTTTGTTTTCCTGTCAGGGCCTTCTGCCTGTGCATGCATGCTTGAGGAGGGGTAAGTGAAGGAGTCCTGGTTGAGGGCGTGGGCTGAGGCTGCCCAGCAGAGGGGAGCTGGGGTGTAAGTGCTGGCTGTGGGGCCACCCACAATCAGAGGGCACTGGGGAACACTGCAAAAAGGCCTGGGGAGAGGGAGGAGGGGTGGAGCAGGCACTTCTCTACCCAGCTGATGCCCCCTCCCAGGGTTGCCATGGCAGAGGTGGAGGCAGGGGCAGCAGTGGAGGTCTGTGGACTGTCCCCCAATGTGTCTGATGAGCTGCTCACTCTCTACTTCGAGAACCGCCGACGGTCTGGTGGGGGGCCTGTCTTGAGCTGGCAGAGACTTGGCTTTGGGGGCATCCTCACCTTTCGAGAGCCTGCAGGTGAGGGGGTCTGGCTGAAGGGGCAGCCTGGGTGCCCTCATGCCCTGATGCCTGATGTTCTACCCCACCTCTGCCTGCAGACGCTGAGAGAGTCTTGGCCCAGGCAGAGCACGAATTACATGGTGCCCAGCTAAGCCTGCGGCCAGCTCCTCCACGTGCCCCTGCACGACTGCTGTTCCAAGGACTGCCCCCTGGCACTGCACGCCTCCTTCTGGAGCAGCATGTCCAGGCCCTGCTACATGCTGCGGGTCTCCCAGTGCAGCCCTGTTGTGCCCTGGCCAGCCCCCGGCCAGACCGGGCCCTGGTCCAGCTGCCCAAGCCCCTTTCTGAGGCAGGTGAGAGGCAGGAATGGGGCTGAGGTGCTGGTTAGGGGAGATGCCCCAAACTGACCTGCACATTCCCCACAGAAGTCCGTGTTTTGGAGGAGCAGGCCCAGAATCTGGGCTTCAAGGGGGCCATGGTGTCCCTGGCCCAGGTGCCCCAGGCCCGAGCAGTGCGTGTGGTGGGGAGCAACCCCCCCATGGACCTCCTGCTGCTGGAGCTGTACCTGGAGAATGAGCGCCGCAGCGGTGGGGGGCCCCTGGAGGGCCTGCGCGTCCTACCAAGGCATTTGGGCACTGTCGTCTCCTTCCAGCAGTGGCAGGGTGAGTGGGGCAGGATGGACCCAGCTGAGCCCGCCTTTCCCACAGAAATCTGATGGGCTTTCTGTCGTCTTCCTTCCTCCAAGTGGCTGAACGGGTGCTGCAGCGGGACCACTGGTTACAGGGCTCGAAGCTGAGCCTTGTCCCCCACTACGACATACTAGAGCCCGAGGAGCTTGCTGAGGACACCAGTGGAGGGGACCACCTGTCCAAGCTGGGGCCTGGGGCCACCAAGCATGCTCTCCTGAAGGCTGGAGGGCTGGCAAGGGCACTGAAGGGTACAGAGACTGTGACAGTGGGCTCTAGAGAGACCCCAGCGCAATCCGGGGCCTCTCTGAAGACAAGTCCAGTGGGGTCTCTGGGAGAGGATGGGCCAGTCAGCTCAGGGACCAGGGGGTCTCTGGAGCAGGAGGGGTCCATGAGCCTGGGGACTGTGGGATATCCAGAGAAGGCTGAGCTGGTGAGCCTGGGGTCCATGGGGTTTCCTGCCCTGGGGCAGGAGGGCCTGGTGGAAATTGCCATGGGTTCACCAGGGCAGGAGGGGATAGTGGGTCCAGTGGAGATCACTGTGGAGTCTCTGGAGAAGGCAGGGCCGGTGAGCCCAGGGCACGTGGGGCTGCCGGGGCAGGTAGAGACGGTGCTGTCGATGGAGCCCGGGGCGATGCGCTTCCTGCAGCTCTATCATGAGGACCTTCTTGCTGGCCTGGGAGACGTCGCCCTCTTCCCACTTGAAGGAACAGATGTGACTGGCTTTCGGGTAAATGACCCTCAGGATGCCTCATCTTTGGCCCCCTCCTCCCACTGGGGACTTGGAGTACCTTTCCTGTGCCCTAAACCTGCAAACTGCTTCTCCCCATGGTTCTGCAGCTCTGTGGAGCCCTGGCTCCATGCCAGGCAGCTGAAGAGTTCCTGCAAAGTCTGCTGGGCAGCATTAGTTGTCATGTGCTGAGCCTGAAGCACCCAGGCAGCGCCAGGTTTCTCCTGGGCCCAGAAGGGCAGCGCCTTCTTCAGGGACTGGAGGCTCAGTTCCAGTGTGTCTTTGGGACAGAGCGTCTGGCCAGGGCCACCCTGGACACAGACCCTGAAGAGGTAGAGATGAAGTACTGCCCCTGCCCTTTCTTGTACCCCAGACCCCAGGGCCTCTACCCTTGCCCAGAGGCTGTTTGTCCTGACATCTTCTCCCTACAGGTGGACTCCACTGAGGCCCTCCTGAGCCTTCCTGGTGGTGCCCACACCCTGTGGCCCCCAGACAGTGCAGGCAATGACCAGGAGAACATGAGCCTGGGTAGGACTCCCTGGGAACCCTTAGCATATCCTGAGGCCCTTGCTTGACCTCCTGCTCTGCCCTGCTCTATTTCCACCTGTCTAGTGACCCTTCCCAGGCTCATCCTGTACCTGCTAAACCTGCTAGCTATCTTTCACCCATTCGGACTCCACCTGTCTTCAGCGATACCCTGGCTGGGCCCAAACCCTGACCCAGTGGCCTCTCCCTGCTTCCAGAGGAGGTCCGAGAACTGCTGGCCACCCTGGAGGGCCTGGATGGGGAAGACTGGCTGCCTCTAGAGCTGGAGGAAGAGGAGCTTGAAGAACAGCCAAAGGAGGAGGCAACTCCAGGACATGAGGAGGGGGATCCTGTGGCTCCCAGCACTGGGGCACCTGGACGGCTGGAGGAAGAGGCCGCACTGCAGCTGGCCCTCCACCGGTCATTGGAACCTCAAAGCCAGGTGGCTGAGCAGGAGGAGGCTTCTGCGCTACAGCGAGCCCTGGCCCTCTCCTTGCTGGAGCAGCCCCTGTCAGAGGTAGAAGAGCCCCCAGGTGGGGCGACTGGTGGCAGAGCCCAGCTGGTGGTGCACATGGCCTTTGAGCAGGACATAGATGAGCTGGACCGGGCACTAGAGGCTGCCTTGGAGGAACACCTCTGGGAAGAGACAGCGGGTCCTCAGAGCCACATGCTGCCCGCAGAGCTGTGTGCTCGCCTTGAGCAGTGCCATGGTGTGAGCATTGCCCTGCGTGGGGACTGCACCATCCTCCGTGGCTTTGGGACCCAACCTGCCCGTGCAGCCCGCCACTTAGCTGCACTTCTGGCAGGCCCCTGGGATCAGAGTTTGGCCTTTCCCTTGGCAGCTTCAGGCTCTACCTGTGAGTCTACATCCTGGACTGCGGGAGGGTGCCGTGGGCCAGCTATCAGGAGCTAGTACCCTAAACATGGCCCTGACCCCCTGTCTCCCCATGTGTCAGTCCCAGAGCAGGGCCTGAAGGAGCCCTTAAGCAGGTTGGAGCAATTGGAAGAGAGCACTAGGGAGTTCCAGGAGGTGGTGCAGGCCTTCTACGACACCTTGGACGCTGTCCGCAGCAAGATCCGCATTGTCCGGGTGAGTCTGTGCCCTGTCTCACTGGCCTCATGGCCTCCTGGGCTCTTGGCACCATTACCACCTTACAGAGTCTGTGGGCTGTCACTCTTGCCTACATTAAGGTCAGCTCAGTGCAGGCAGGCTGGAAAGCTGATGGTGGGGGTGGGGGGGCGGATAGCACTAGGCCTCCTGAGTCCCGTTCCCTGCCCAGGGGATGTTCACCAAGTCAAGTGGGGTGGATAGGAGGGCAGAAGTTAGGGGGGGTCCCTAGAATCTGACAGGCCAGAGCGAGGGTCCCTGCTCTGCCAGTTACAGCCAGGTGACCAGGGACTGTGTGACCTTTCCCATGCCTCAGTTTCCTTCTCTAGAGCATGAGGTGGTGATGCCATCTCATGGCCATTGTGAGGATTACTTATTTCACAAATGTGTACCATGTGCTGTTCTGGGGGCTCTTCTGCCTCCAAAGGGGGCCACTTCATCAGGGAAAGGGCCAGGACTTGCTGCAGCTTGGCAGCCTCATCCTGTATTCTTACTTGCTAAATTTGGCAACCTTGAGCATGAGTGTGTTTCAGAAAAGGCTGAGAATAATTGGTGGGGAGCCAGAGAGAAATTTCAGGATCCCCAGGAGCCATCAGCCTATCTGGGCAGCTGAAAGAAGAGGCTGAGGAGGGACAGGGAGGCCAGGGAAGCATGAGCACATGGGGTTACAGGAGGCAACAGGGGGATGAAGGAGGGAAGTAGGGTCCACAGCATCTGCACTGCCTGAAGGAAAGTCTGCAGAGAGATGGTCTGTTGGCTAGTTGGTGTGGGGTGGGGGATGGAGAGTAAATAGGAGGTGTGGGCAGCGACAACAATGGAAATAAGCTGGTTACAGAAGAAGGGAGTGATGGGAGAGTAGCCAGAGGGGAGTGCAGGGTTGAAGACAGAGGTTTTCCACCTGGGAAGACTCAGTGTGCTCATAGCTGAAAGTGAAGGAATCCACAGAGGTGGCTGGGCACAGCCAAGTGAGAAGGAAGACAGTGGAGATCCGAGGTCATTGTGCTGGTGAGACTGGGCCAGGCACTCACAACTCTTGATGCTCGAAGTTGTGGGTGGGGCCAGCAGCATCAGCCTCCAACTGGAGCTGGTCAGAAATGCAGAAAGAACCGCTGGTCTTCTCCAGACCTGGCTCAGTCACCTACCACCACCCACCACCACCACCACCACTATCACTACCATCACCTTCACCACCACCATCACCATCACCACCATTATCACCTTCACAACCACTGCCACCACTACCACTATCACCACTATCACCACCATCACCTTCACCACTGCCACCCATCACCATCATCACTATTATCACCTTCACCACCACCACCATCATCACCTTCACTACTGCCACCCACCACCATCACCACTATCACCGTCATCATCACCACCGTCACCATTGTCATCATTACCATCACCATCACCACACATCACCATCATCACCTTCATCATTCACCACTACCTTTACCGATCACCATCATCACCATCACCATCAACTTCACCATCACCACCCAGATGCACTGTGCTCATATCCTGCTGATTTTGTTAATTACATGCACTCAGTTCTCCTAGTGAGCACCTTTATGACTTTAGATAGAAACACTTGAATCTTTTTTTTCCCACTAATCAACTTTAGAGACCGCTTTTTGCCTTCATGCATGGAAGATGAGGACAATGGGCCTCCCTTCCTTCTCTCTTGCTTACTCCTTCCTCTTCCATCTCACGGTTTGGTCAGTTACATTATTTTATTTATTTATTATTTATTTTTGAGACAAGGTCTCACTCTGTTGCTGGGTAGAGTGCAGTGGTGTGAGCATAGCTAACTGCAACCCCAAGCTCCTGGGTTCAAGTGATCCTTCTGTCTCAGCCTCCCGAGTAGCTGGGACTATAGGTGCACACCACCATGCCCAGCTAATTTTTCTGTTTTTGGGCAGAGATGAGGTCTTGCTCTGACTCAAGGTGGTCTCAAACTCCTGGCTTTAAGCAATCCTCCCGCCTCAGCCTCACAAAGTGATAGGCTTATAGGCATGAGCCACTGTGTCCAGCTGATTGAAACTCTTTTTATTATGTAGTCAAAATTTACAGACAAATTTCACATTGCATTTTGTAACTATCATGAAGCCTCCATGCTTGGGCCGTAGGTTGATAGACATACTATGATAATGAAAAAATATCTACCATTGAACCATAGAGAAGGACATGAAGTCCTAGCTATTAAAACTGTGTTGCATGAAAGAGAATGTTCTAGGATTCAAGGTCTAATAGCTTCTCTTTTTTTGACTTACTTGATTTTTTCTGGGTCATGCTAGATTGTTGGGTTACTCTTTGTGCCCTGTCACCCTCTTTCGTGATTCTTCTGTTTAGTGGGAGTATAACCTTGAGTGGGTAGTAAACATCTTTGACTTTTAAGTTTATATTGCCTTTTACAATTAGAGGTATTTTGCAACTATAATTTGATATTAGTGTTAACTTTCCATGTTCTTACATGTCCTAATAAGTCCTTATTTGTCCTTACTCATGCTTCATTAATGGTTTGACTGGATATAGTGTTCAGGCTGAAGATATGTTTTCCCTCAGGTATTTGAAAACTGCTCTTTTTTTCCTTCTTAAAAATTTTTTTCTTGGAAAGTTAAAAAAAAATTCCTCCCTGGTTTCTTAGCATCTGGTATTGACAGTGAGAAACCTAATGTAAGAATATGAGATTCCCCCCCGTTTGTATATTGATCTTGTATGTGTGCGTGTGTGTGCATGCACTCTTGTAGGGTTTTCTTCCACTTTGAAGGTTGAGGTTTCCTGGCAGGTAGGTGAGTGCCAGGGGTGTGTCTTTTCCCATTTTCCTTCTTGGCATTTTATGGAGCCTCTCCATCTGAAGATCTGCCTCCACCTTAGGGAAACTGCCTTCCCTTGTCGGTTCCCGTGCTCTGGCGTCCTGTGGAGCTCCTGCTATGAGCAAAGACCTCATGCTCCCTCACCTGCTCTCTCAGGGTTCCCTTCTCTCTTTAGCTTTGCACTCGGCCTCAGTTCCTTAACTCCATCTAGACTGGATAGCTGGGTCTTTAGCTTTAACCATTTCATTATTTGGCTCACTCAGCAGTCCCATTCTTCATGTAAGAACTCTCTTATTTTCAGACTTTTTCTTTTTTCATAGCAGCTAGTCTTATTTAATCGATATCATATTCTTTTGCATCACCTGAAGAGACTAGAATTTCTTTAAAAGCTTTTCCCAGGGCTGATTGTCCGGTTGGTCACCTGAGGCCTTCTCTCCCATCCGAGCATTCCAACACTGAGAGGTCCCTGGACATCTCTTGTGTTGGAAGTAGAGTCCTGTGGGCAGTGTAGGCACCTGGCCCAGCTTTTTTCTGCAGAGGCCTGGCTTGGGGTGGGTTGGGGATCTGCCCACCTGCAGGCCTCCATGGAGGGCTCAGACATCTCTGGAGGGACTCAGGCCTCTCTGGAATTCTTCTATGTTACTTGCCCCATGGATGTGCTGGGCAGACCATGATGGGAGCTGCCAGGTCTCCTCCAAACCCTGAACTCCACTGGAGGAGGGCTCCAGATTGCAGGGCTCAACTCTGCCCTGGCTCAGCCCAGGGGCACAGGGATGGCCTCTGAATTGCCTGTTCCTGACCGTGTCCCCCTGGGCAGGTGGAGCGTGTGTCGCACCTACTGCTGCAGCAGCAGTATGAGCTGCACCGGGAGCGCCTGCAGCAGCGCTGTGACCGGCGCCCAGTGGAGCAAGTCCTGTACCACGGCACAACAGCGACGGCCGTGCCTGACATCTGCGCACATGGCTTCAACCGCAGCTTCTGTGGCCGCAACGGTGAGGCCTGGGCTGGGCAGGGGCGGGGGCTCTCCCTACCCCTATGACCCTGACCTCCGCCCGTCCTGCCCCGCAGGCACGCTCTATGGACAGGGTGTGTACTTCGCCAAGCGCGCCTCCTTGTCGGTGCAGGACCAATACTCGCCCCCCAACGCCGACGGCCACAAAGCGGTGTTCGTAGCACGGGTGCTGACCGGAGACTATGGGCAGGGCCACCGCAGTCTGCGGGCGCCCCCGCTGCGGGCCTCCGGCCACGTCCTCCTGCGCTACGACAGCGCCGTGGACAGCCTCGGCCAGCCCAGCATCTTCGTCATCTTTCACGACACCCAGGCGCTGCCCACCCACCTCATCACCTGCGAGCACATGCCCCGGGCTTCCCCAGAGGACCCCTCTCGTCTCTTGGGCCACTCCCCGGCGACTTGACCAAAGAGGCCACCCTCTGGCGTCCTGCTCCCCAGGTTCTCACTCCAATCTGCTCTCCTTCCTCTGGGGACACCCCTGCCTCTTGCTGCGCCGCCGGGCGGGGTGGGGGGCAAGGCGACGGCAGGGGACGAGGAGAGCGGGGGCGGTCCTGCCTTGCCGACCCAACCACCAGGGGTCAGCAGAGCCCAGAGCCCCGGCCGCCACCACCCGTCTTGGCCACACCTTGCCCGAGCGCGGCTCTGTTGTTTGAATAAACGTTTAGGTGAAGCCAGGCGTAGTGTCTCTGGATCTCTGGGAAAGACCTGTTTGGGGAGTGGGGGACCTCGTCATGACAGGGACGGGGTCGGCTGCCCCGCGAGGCGGCCCGGGGTAGCCGACCAAGGCTGCCGGGACGCCAGAGTGCTGGGCGGGGCCGAGCGCGCACCCGTGCGACCCCACGCCGTCCTGGTGTCACGCACGCTCGCCCCAACAACGTCTCCTTGCCTACCCGCCCGCTCTGTACGCTCCGGGAGCAGGCTGCGCCGGCAGTGTGCGCACGCGGGGGTCGCACCCGCGGGCGCCCAGATCTCGTGGGCATCGCTCACTTGCTCTCGGCGAGGCCGGGGCGGGGCTCGGGCTAGGACTCGCCCCGCCTGCGCCGCCTCCGCAGCTCCCGGGTCCTAACAGTCTGGCTGCGCCGCCGAGCTGAGGAGAGTGGAGCCACCAGGCAAGTAAGAGCGGGGCTGGGATGGAGAGGTGCACAGCGTGCGGGAGCCGCAGAGTCTGGGTGGGGGCTCCCGCCGCAGGCGACCCGGAACTAGGGGCTACGCTGCAGCCGATCCTGCCCTCCTTCGCGAGGGCAGCACCTCCCTGCGCGCCCGAGACTGCGGAACTGGACGGGCGGTGCCCCGGCTGTGGGCAGGGAGGCTGCTGGGGAGGCGCGGCTGGCCGCAGGGCTGCGGACTGGGGGCTGGAGCGGACGCGGCCCGAGGAGGAGCCGGTGGGGGGCGGGGTGGATAGCCCCCTGCTCGGTGCCCGCTGACTCCTCCTTAGCCCTTGGCCTGAGGGCGGAGGCACAGAGCCCACATTGTGCCCCCACACCAGCCCGCCCCCGCCTAGACAGAACCCCATTCACCTCCCACACGCCAGTGCTCTGGGGGACGGGGAGCTGGGGAATGAGCACGCGTGGGTATGCGTGCGCTCTGGCTGCGCCCGCGGTACCGGCGTACATGACATGCAGTGTGGGCTGCAGGAGCGCCGGCCCGGGCTCCCTCCCGGTCTTGCCGCAGCCGAGCTCCCACGGCCCACGCCGCTGCGGCTCCAGCTATTTATAGGCTGCCACTGCAGAGACCGCGGTGGGGCCGCGCGGGGCTGAGGTGCGGTGGGGTGATGGAGAGTCTTAGAGACCGAGACAACTTGGAGATAGAGGGTCAGTGTCGGGGGTGGGGGTTGGGTGTCCTTCCCTGATGCCCCAGTGAGGGGAGGGGCAGTGATCAGCGTTTGTTGATGGCCTCGCTTGCCTGCCGATTCCAGGATTCGGGGAGAGGGAACCCAGGTTTGGGACGGAGGAAAAGGAGGCCAGTGTCTGGGTGAAGATAATCACCCCACTCCTGTGTGACAAGGTGGAGAGTGGAGTCAGTGTCCTGTGGATGGGGTGAGCCCCTGGGTATCAGGGTACAGTGGTCTGGGTTTGGGTAACTAACAGTGGCAGTCAATGCTTGCGGGTCTGGGTGGCAAGTGTGGTCACTGTCTTGCTGATAGACTAGAGGGGTGAGGTCAGTGTCTCCGGAGTTGTCACCTCACCGTGTGGGTATCTGAGAGATGGGCTGGAGGAAGGAGGGTTGTCAATGTCTGGGTTGAGAGTATACGGTCCATTTGTGGATGAGGCAGAGCATAGGAGGACCATGGGTGTCAGTGTCCAGGTGATACGGTGGATGGAATGGTGTCAGTGTCTAGGTGAGGAAGGTGGTGGGTCAGTGCACAGCATCTGCTCCCTCCACTAGTAGAGGTGTGACTCTTCCTGCCCCTGTTCCAGGAGGCATGTCGGGTGAGGACTCCGAGGCGCGGGCAGTGGCTGAAGATGTCTCCAATGGAAGCAGTGGCTCGCCCAGCCCTGGGGACACACTGCCCTGGAACCTTGGGAAAACACAGCGTAGCCGGCGAAGCGGGGGTGGCGCTGGGAGCAACGGAAGTGTCCTGGACCCTGCTGAGCGGGCAGTCATTCGCATCGCAGGTAACACCGAAGGGGCAATTCTTCAGCACACCTTGTTGTTTGGGCACCTGCTGTGTGTTGTATGCAGGTGCTGGGACTGGGTGAGAAGCTTGCTGAGATCTGCAGGTCAGGGAGGGCTCCCGCAGTCCCAGGTAAGTGCAGACAGCACAGTGCCATCTGCTGGACCCACCTGGGAAGCTGCAGTGGCCTGAGGTTGGGCTCCTTGCCGCAGCAGCACCATCACTGGCTTCATGACAAAGGTCCAGTGCTCGGATGTGACCATGATAACTTCTTGGGCTTCTGGGGCACCAAGCCCCTGATCTTGGCTGCCACCAACAGGGGCAGGTGGGAGTGTATAGGAGCAAGACAGGAGGGGGGTGCCTGGTTGTCCAGAGCCCCAGCCCCTCCCTGAACCAAGGTCTGGTCTTGCCCTCCAGTAGCTGCCAGTGTGGGGAGAAGGATGGGAAAGACACAGTGAGAGGCCCCGGGGAAGGGGTGGGCAGCTGGAGGGTGGCCCCTCCCTGTAGGAAGTGGGTAACCTCGGGCTGGGGGCCATTCAGCCGGATGTACTGGGAAAGGGAGGAGCCAGTGGAGGGTCTCTAGGCTTCTTCACAGTACTGCCCTAGTCCGCCACTAGGACCCCTAGGGAATGAGGAGGCACCTGGTTGGGGGGGCTACAGGAGGACAGGAGGGTGGACTGAGACTTGTTGGGAGAGGGCTGGGAGGCCAGGTGCTGAGCCTGAGAAGCTTGGTTGGTGGGAGCACAAATGTGGCTTGTGGAAGAGGAGAGGAGCAGAAAAGAGTACAGGAAGCTCTGTCGCCACCTTGCACCTGGCCCCTGGGGTCAGTGTGGGCAGTGCATGCCCTTCTGGGCTTTTCATATCACATGTGGATTTTAATGAATGAGGTCATCTTTTTCCCAATTGAAAGGGAATCAGGAATGTCCTTTCTCAGCCCTGACCTTCTTCAGCATCAAAGATGTGGGGGCAGCGTGCAGTGCTGGGCATCCCAGCAACCCCTGCTGCTGCCGGCAATGGCCTTGGGCCATGATCTTCTTAGGACTGATTGCTAGAAGTGAGACTCTTGGTCACAGGGCATGCAGCATTTAAGGTTAGAGAGGTATTGCCGGGGTGTTCTCAAAAGGAGGACATTTGTCATTGCTGGGAGAAAGGGCTTTGCCAATCTGATGGGTGGAAAATAATTATTTTGTTGTTTTAAATTATTTTTTAGAAATTTTTGCAGAATTATTTGAAAGTTAGGTGCAGACATCATGAGGTTTTATTCCTTTGTGTTTTTTTAAGAGATGGGGTCTCATTATATTTCCAAGGCTGGACTCCTGGACTCAAGTGATGCTCCTGCCTCAGCCTCTCGGGTGGCTGGGACAGGTGTGCCACTACGCCCGGCTATCTTTTTCTTTTATCACCATTTTTTTTCCTTGTGTAAACTGACTATTCCAGTTCTATGTGTAGTTTTTTTGTTGTTGTGTTTTAAGAGCTATTTATATACCGAAGATTCCAACTCTGTCTATCAGCAATGTTGCAGTGAGAGAATTCCAGCCCAGGCGAAGGAGCAAGGGAGGGAGGAGGGCAGGGGCGCGCCTAGGGCGGCCAGGTGAGGTCGCTGCCTCGGCTGGGAGCTGGGCCGGTCAGGGCCGACGGGGCAGGGGGCCGGAGGCAGGGATTCGGGCCGTCGGCGGGCCGTGACTGGGTCGAGAGCGGAGCTGGAAGGGGGGTGCGCCCGCCAGGAAGCGTGTGAGACCTAGTCTTGGAGCCCGCGGGGCCGGCCCTGGCCAAGCCAAGCCCGCGGGGAGGCGCTCAGCTGCCCGACTGCCCGGCCGCAGCTCCCCTGGGCCCGGCCCCCCGCTCCGCCCCGCCCGTGGGGCATCCTGGGTGCGGGGGCGGGGCGGGAGCGGCCTCTTTAAGCGGCGCGCGCGGCCGCAGGGACAGAACGGCCGCCGAGGGTTGAGGCTCCCTCTGCGCCGCTGAGTCCCGCGCCCGCCGGCATGGCCGCCCTGCTGACGCCTGGCCAGCCGCCCGACGAGCAGGACTTCATCCAGGCCTACGAGGAGGTGCGGGAGAAATATAAAGGTACGGCGTCCCTCACCCCGTCCCGGCTGCGCTGCCGTCTGCCTCGGCTCCTCCAGGTTGGCGAACCTGACAACCCGGCCGCTGACCACCTTGCCCACGGTGGCCGTCCAGATGGCGGCCCAGCCAGAGCCCAGCCACCCTGTTGGCCTGTTAGCCTTGCTCGTCCCCTACCCCCAGCGCCCAGGGAAGGGGCGGGCACGCTGGGCTGAGCCCCCGCAGCCATGCCCTTAATAGGGCATCCTGAGGCATGCATGAGTGGGTGGGGTGGGCCGCCGCGTGGGTGGGTGCATCCAGGGCTTGTCAGTCCCGCAGTCAGGTCGGTGACCAGTGTGCGTGTCTAGCAGACACGTGGGTCAAGGCTGAGCCATCCCCCTGCCCCACCTCTGGGGCGGGTCCCTGTGGGGCAAGGGTGGCTGCGCCTGCCTGGCAATGGGTTGCATAGTTGTCGCCTCTCCTCACCTCCCCAAACTGGCTTGGGCCTGGGCTGCTACCTTTCTTTGGCAGGGATTCCTGTGGCACCCCTTCTCTGTCCCCTGGGGGGCAGTTGTGGGCTGGGGAAGTCAGAGCAGCCCCTCTGTGTTCTCTAGAAGAACATCAGAGTGGCCTATCCACCCACTCTGTGGCTTTGGCAGACCCCCATGTCCTGCTCCTTGCCTGCCCGGAGCCCCTGGACCTGCCCAAGCCCTCACTGCTCTTGCCACTCTTGCAGCCCAGCTGCCTGGCTTGGGTTTGGGTCGCTGGGCTCTGAGGAGGCATGGACACAGCTCTGGCTCCCAGCCCACAGAGGCTTAGAGGCCTGGGAGTGAGCTGCTGGGGAGGGTCAGGGTGGGGGCCTCAGGCAGTGCCGACCACAGCAGGTTCCAGCTTCGTGCGGCTGGTTTTGCTGGCTCTGCCCCCAAGGGCAGCTCAGGGAGAGAGGTCCTGCTGGGTCTCTGCCCGGGGCCCTGTGGTGC